ACAGTATTATGACTCTCATTTCAGTGTCTTCCTGCAGGACAAAAAGCATGAATATCTGTTGTCAGAGACTGAACTGCCTGGAGGACACCAATTACCCCATTTCAGTTAACATTAATGAAAACTAAATACTGAGATTACAAAGTTCTTCCTCACAGTTTCAAAATGCATAAGTAAGCCTAACAACATTGTTACTGTTTACCACAGAAACTGTAAATATCTATAGTTCATTTTTTCTATTAATAAGACGTATTTTCTAAAAATCCAGCAGCAACCTTCTCTTCCCAAAAAGCCAAACAGCTTGAAACCTCCACTCCCACTGCAAAACCAGAGTATCCTCTTCATTGCAATATCTACTCTTTGTTGCAATTAAACAAAGAGTTAAAAAGAAAGGAATTTTATTTCCAAACTTCTAAAAGATTAATACAAACAATAGAAAACAGACAAAACCAAAAACCTATTTAACAAAAAGCTATTTGTTCTTATAAAAGTATTCTATAAAAAACTGAAGGCAAATGACCAAGGACATTTTAGTAAGTTTTGTGTATTGCAAACCTCAACAATTATGCATGCAACTATCTTTGGGTGTTCATGGAGTTTTAGTGTTTGGTCACATTTTAAACGTGCCGGATGTGCTGGGTTTGTGCTGGGTTTGTGTCTGGGAGGGTTTTGGTAGTGGGAGAGGGGTCTACTGCACGGGTGTGACTCCTGTGGGAAGCTTCGCGAACGGGTTTTGGTAGTGGGAGAGGGGTCTACTGCACTGGTGTGACTCCTGTGAGAAGCTTCTAGAAGCTCCCCCAGCTCCAGGTGTTACACATTTCTGGCCAAGGCTGAGCCAATCAGCACTTCTGTGATATTTAAGAGATGAAAAATCCCTGTCAGGCTAGTTCTTTCATTTTGGGGTTCTTTTGTTCTGAAGAGGAGGGGAATGTGAGAGTGAACTAAGTGGAGTCTGAGGCCAGGAAGGAGGAGGGGAGGAGGGGCACCGGAGCAGCCACTGCCCTTCAGCCCGTGGTGAGACTGCAGGCTGGGCCCCTGCAGACCATGGAGCAGAATCCCACTGTGGGCTGTGGAGCACCTACACTCTGAGGGAGGGCCCCCCCTAAAGCAGTCCATCACTGGGGGGACTATAGCCTGTGGAAGAGACTCAGGGTCTTAGGTGGGCAACCTGATCTAGATAAAGCTGCTTTAGCAGGGGGGGTAGAGTAGATGATCTCCTTCCAAACCCTACCATTCTGTGAGTTCTGCCCCTGAGGAGGAAGAAGCAGCAGAAACAACATGTGACAAACTGACCCCAACCGCTATTCCCTGCCCCCTTGCACCACTGGTGGGAATGAGACAGAGAATCTGGAAGAAGAGCTGAGCCTGAGGGAGGGGTGGGGGCGAGGTCTTTTTAAGATCTGCTTGTATTTCTCACTGTCCTACACTGATTTGATTGGTAAAGTGGTGGATGTTTAAATTAAACTGATGTTGTTTCCCCCAAGTCAGGTGAGCCCCGATAACAGCTGGAGGGACAACAGAGCAGGGCATAAGCAATCCAGGAGATTCCTGGAATGCCTCAATGATAACTCTCTCCTCCAAGTGATAGATGAACCAATAAGGAGAGGTGCCATGCTAGATGTTGTCCTCACCAACAGGGAGGGGCTGGTGGGTGATGTCAATCTCTTGGGCAACCTTGGCTGTAGCCACCATGGAATGATGGAGTTTAAGGTCTTAAGTGCATCGAGGAAGGATGCTCTCAGCAAGCTTGAGACCCTTGACTTCAGAAGAGCCAACTTTGCCCTGTTCAGGAACCTCGTTGGTAGAGCACCACAGGAAAAAGTCCTGGAGGGATTGGGAAGCCAGGAAAGGTGGTTGACTTTCAAGGATCATCTCCTCCAAGCTCAAAGGCACTGCATCCCCAAAAAGCAGAAATCAAGCAAAAATGCCAGGAGGCCTATATGGATGAACAAGGAACTCCTGGCCAAAATCAAACACAAAAGGGAAATTCACAGAGGGTGGAGGCAAGGACAGGTGATCTGAGATGATTACAAAGAGATGGCTCACAAAACCAGAAACCAGGTCAGAAAAGCTAAAGCTTAGAACCAAATCTGGACAGGGACATTAAAAATAACAAAAAAGGTTTCTACAGGTATATTACAGAAGAAAAAGGAAAACGGGAGAATGTGGGGCCTCTCTGGAGGGATACGGGCAACCTGGTTACTGAGATAAGGAGAATGCTGAAGAACCCAATGACTTTTTTACTTCAGTCTTCACTGGTGACCACTTGAGCCCCACCACCCAAGTCACAGAGGGCACTGGTTGGGTCTGGGAGAGTGAAGAAGTGCCCGAAGTAGAAGCAGATCAGTTCCAGGAACACCTAGAGAACCTGAAGGTGCACAAGTCCATGGGACCTGATGAGATACATCCACAGGTCCTGAAGGAACTGGAGGCTGAAGGTGCTAGACCACTAGGCATCATACTTGAGAAGTTGTGGCAGACTGGCAAAGTTCCCACTGATAGGCAAAGGGGAAAGATAAGCCCCAGTTGTAAAAAGGGAAGCAAAGAAAACCCAGAGAACCACAGACCAGTCAGCCTCACCTCTGTGCCAGGTAAAATCATGGAGCAGATCCTCCTGGCATCTGTACTGAGGCACGTAAAGAAATAATGAGGCAATTGGTGACAGCCAACATGCCTTCACTGAGGGTGAATCGTGCCTGACTAATGTGGTGGCCTTCTACAACAGTTACAGCTCTGGTGGATATACATGAAGAGCAACTGACATCTTCTACCTGGACTTTTGCAAGGCATTTGACACCATCCCGCATGACAACCTTGTCTTTAAGATGGGGAAACAGACTTGTTGTATAAGGAACTGGTTAGAAGGTCACACTCAAAGAGTTGTGATCAACAGCTCAAAGTCCAGATGGAGACCAGTGACAAGTGGAGCTCCTCAGGGGTCTGTTCTGGAGCCAGTGCTGTTGAACGTCTTTGTCAGTGACACAGACAGTGGCATTGAGTGCACCCTCAGCAAGTCTGCTGATGGCACGGAGCTGAGTGGTGTGGTGAACTCACCCAAGGGAAGCGAGGCCATAGAGTGACCTCAAGAGGCTTGAGAAATGGGCCAATGCAAACTGCACAGTGTTCACCAAGTCAAACACCTGGAACAGGCCAGTCCCAGGCACAATTACAAACAGTACAGAGCTGGTTGGGAGTAGCCCTGGAAAGAAGAACTTGAGGGTGTTGATTGATGAGAAGCTCAACAAGAGCCAGCAGTGTGCTCACGCAGCCCGGAAGGCCAACCACATCCTGGGCTGCATCAAGAGGTGTGTCACCAGCAGATCAAGAGGGGTGATTCTCCCCCTTTACTCTGCTCCTGTGGGACCCCACCTTGAATACTGCCTCCAGTTCTGGTGTCCCCTCCTTGGGAGGGACATAGATCTGTTGGAATGAGTCCAGAGGAGGCCCACAAAGCTGATCCATGGGCTGGAGAACCTCTGCTATGATGATGGGGTGAGGGGACTGGGATTGTTGAGGGCACAAGGATTGTTCAGCCTGGAGAAGACTCCAGGAGGATCTTATAACTGCCTGCCCAGCACCTGAAAGGAAGTGACAGGAAGGCTGGAGAGGGGCTTTTCACAAGAGTGTGAAGCAACAGGGCAAGGGGAAATGGTTTTAAACGGAAGGAGAGGATGTTTAGACTGGATTTTAGGAAGATCTTCAGTATGAGGGTGGCGAGACTCTGGAATAGATGGCCCAGAGAGGCTGTGGATGCCCCCTCCCCGGAGGCGTTCCAGGGCAGGGT